ATTTTTTTACAATACTTGCTTTGATGGTTCATTCTGAAGTTATGGGGCTGGTTATCATTACTGAAAGCAATGAATATATGTTTTTATGATAATCTATACAAATACTGATTAAAAAAATACGGATGCAATGAAAAATTTAAAATTAACATACTATTTTTGGTGACCATTTTATAATATGAACAGTTCTTATCTAAGAGCCATAATGTCAGAATAATTATCGATCATACAGAAATAGCTCCAACATATCATGAACAAATTGCTTTTCAATCTTCTCTTGCGAGAATTACTAAGAGATTTGATTTTATTTATTGAACAATAAGATATATTCAAAATAATAAGTAACTAATCAGAATGCAGGTTTATGATAATCTGAAGTTCTTTAAAAAAATTGTTGATCCACCTTTTTCCTTGCAAGAATATCTAAGAGCCATAATATCATTCAGGCTTGCAGCCATTCGTTTGCTATAAAACAAATGTTTTTTTTGGATTTATGGAGTCATTACATCATATAATATGATGTATGATGACATGATATGATGATATTTTGCACATACGAGATACAAGATGAGTTTGTAAAGTATGTGTTTTACACATGAAACCTGTCAATTTTGCTTTCAGAGATTCATAATTTGATAATCAATGATTATTTATTATTCATGAAGAGTAAATATTCAGCGATCATAAAATTGCTGATTGTGACTCTCTAAAAGAATAACTGAAAATATTCATGTGCCAAATAATAAATTATAACTTCTTCTTGTAAATTACAAGCATAAAATCAATTGATTTCATAATGCTGAAAAACCAGTTTTTATAGAAAACGGATTGCCACAACCCTGGTAAATATGCTCTCTTCATGAAGAATGAATGTTCATCGATCATAAAATTGTGACTCTCTGAAAGTGAAACTGACAGGTTTCATGTGTCAACCACTTATTATACAATCTCTTCTTTTAACTTACAAGTGCAAAATATCTTTTGAAGATTTAATGATTTCATAGCTCCCACAATTTTTTTTTTATAGTAAATTAATAACATAAACCTTAGCCAATATATTACTACAAAGCCACCTAGTTATTGTTTACATGGTTTTCTGAAATATACAGATCGATCACTTCCTCCATATGGTTTACCAGCCATTATCAATTAATTGACCATGCCTGTCACGTCAGCAACAGGAAATGGGATATTAATCAATATGATATTATAGCATCCAATCTCTTATGTAAAACATGGTTCATAAGAATTATTGCATAACCTTAATATGTCTGTATAAAGGTATGAATTTTGAAACTACCATTTCCCATCACTTGAATCCCCCATCAGCCATAATATTCACCCATCACTAAATTCCCAATATATGTTTTACCCCCGAATGTATATGCAAATATGTTAGTGCAACATGTAGAGAATCGCACTACATGTCGCAATACATTTCCTTGATGCCAGATGATTTTTTTACAAAATCACCAATTTTCTGATTCCGGTGGAGCCTTAAGTGATTTGAAATTCAAATCGATCCCCTGTCTGAACCAAATAAGGGCCGAAGAAGCCGTGGCTTGGCCGTATATTTTCTGTGAATGAAACTGAGCCGTCCGTATACTCCAGACCCGACGCTTTTTGTGTGGATGGTAGGGTATGGAAATACCATCCAACCGGTGTGTAGGTTGGATGGAGCGTTTCGTTCTTGAATATAATGCTGGGAAGAGCGAGCTGAAGAGCTGTGTGGAAGGCCGGAAGCCCAAAGGCTACAACTTCAATGATAGTTTTCCAATTAAGGTCACTACCGGTGTGTGAGGGCGGAGGAAAAGTTCACGGTATGTAGGTCGGGTACATTGTTTATTCAAAAATATATGCATCTGCGCAGCAGGGATGGAAGAGTGGGTAACAAGTGCATCCCGGCTTGTTTTGTTGCGGTGGTAGTATGAGGGAAGGAATGATCGTGATGATTGTGGTGATGATAACAGGATTCGTGCAACTTGCGTCAAACGCAAGTTTGCTGCTATCAAGCGTAAGTCTTGCGGCGGCGGTGGCGTCGTTATCAAAGTTAAAGCGCCATCGGTTAATTTTCCTGATTGTCATTTGAGAACGCTGCATATATATCCGTATAGTAGTATGTCAGAATAACGAAGTAAATGTGAGAGGTACGGAAATACACTGAAGACTTGACTCCTTTAGGCAGTGTTTGTAGTTTGCTGCTCAGTTAGACAGCGTAAAATGGGTCACGACATATTTTTCCCATTTAGCTGTGTCATCGCAGGTTGATATATGACGATGTTTGGGACCATTCTCAGGGGGTCATGGGGAGAGAGGGTTTTGTTTTCATTTTTATTTGAGCACCCGAAGTAAAGCAGAATATTTGATTTCGACCCGGTACCTTCACTATATAGAATATGCATTGTTGTGGTCTTATTACGAAATATTACCGTATTTTGCTTAAATGCATGGTCATAATTGGCCATGGCTTATTGAAGTTCAAAAACTGGAGTTGCTTCAACTAGAATTGGGTATACATAGAAAATGATCATACACTGAAAGGATTTATACTAAATACACACATAAACAACTTTTGATACTACGGTGTACACAAAATTGGAGGACGTTGGCCAACTACATATCACTTTCGGAAATTCTGGAACTTCCGTAACTCTTGGAACTTAAAGTGCTCCAGAAATTTCCGAAACTATAAGAAATCTAAAGCATTACTAGGTATTCTGATACTCTGGTAGCATTTGAAAAATTCGCAACTCCAAGGACTATCAAGAGTCCCGAAGCGCCAATAACCCTAAACATTTTTGAACTCTTGGAATACCAGAAATAAAAAAATAAAAACACCCATAACTGCAGAACTCTTGAAATACCTGAAACTCCGAAACGTCAGAAACTTTTGGAACTCCTAGAACTTCAAGACCTTTTGGTACTTTGCCTAGCTCTGGAGCGGCGAAAGTTTACGAACCTCCATGCATTCAGCAACTTCGAGGAATCCCGGCACATCGGGAGCATTTACAACTTACGAAACTTCAATAATTCTTCGGTACTTCAAGATCAACTAGACTCTTAGACGTTTTGATGCGATCTATTAATTATGTCAAGTGAAAATGAGGAAAAATTGAAACTCTCTACGTCGCGTTTTATCCTAAACATAGCTTGTTACAAAATGCAGTCAGTCAATTACTGAGAAAGCCGTTAGATCAAGCGAACCATAAATTCCTAGTCTTTACTATTACCATTTACCATTAATAAAAATAATGAAATCTCGCATAATGTAAAGGATCCTGGAATTGAACCCACGATGCTCAGTTACCGTCGCTACTAGGTCGTTGAGCTATTTACATCACAGCAAACCAGTACGAACGATATGTATAGGCGAAGGCATCGACGGATCTCAATAAAAAAGATAACCACTTCTGTAAGCGCAATTTCTAACCATCGCCGGTATATTCCGAAATGGAGGATGTAAGCAAGTTACACTTACATTCTTGTAATAAATTTTTAAATAGGTATAGCTAATCAATTTTGGTTAACAATCATGCAATGCTCTAGATAAGCTTAATTTATCTAGGTCATAATAATTTCAATCAATTTTAAATATGGTAAGGTTGAGCAAGCTCAATGTAGCCCGAATGCTTGTTTGAAAATGCAACCCATAATTGTGGTTGATTTTGACGAACAAATAAATTAATAAATGTACTAGGTACCCATATTGCCCCACCTTACCCTACCTATAACCTTTCGAATCAAAGTATCCATAACCATTAGACTGATGCAAAATTTGAAATGTTCGCTCCACAGTGCTCAAATGGTTCCAAATCGGGTCTTGATTAGCCTCTGAAAGTTTAAACTCATTTGATAAGAAACTGGCTTGGCACAAACCATATGAAGTTCATATGGAAATTACTGTGGGAAAACCAAACGGTTTGTTCATTGTCTTCTAGCCTTTTTCCATATTATACTGTTAACATGTTCTATTACTATTCTTACGGGGAATTTTTATCAGCTTCAACTTTGCAGAAGATCGATTATCAGCTAAGCGTCAAACTAAATAGTTATTAATTATTTAAGAAATTGATAATCTTATAGCATGATTAAGTAACTGTACTGTGGGCAATAGACTGATGCAAAATTTGAAATTTTCGTTCCACAGTGCTCAAACGGTTCCAAATTGGGCCTTGATTAGCCTCCCAAAACTTGAACTCATTTAGTGAGAAACTAACTTGGCACAAACCATTTGAAGTTTATATGGGAAATACTATGGAGAAACCATAATTTCGGTTCACATCTATCTCAAAATTCACCAGTTCACTCTACTTTAGACAATGATAGCTGAGATGGTTGAAAATTTTCTCAGTTACAACTTTGTTGAAGACCACTTTTCGATCAAACGTAAGGAACAAAAATGATTAATGATTCAAGTCACTTATGTCTTATGATTATGCTCAATCAACTGTTCAGCAGGCAACATTGGTGTTTATGGCTAGTATAATAGAGGACAAAAATCATGGCTAACTATGTCACACTGCAAAATGCAGTGTTGCTCACAATACAGTTGCTTAATCTTGCCGTAAGATTATCAATCTCTTAAACAATTAATAACTATTTAATTTGACGTTTGACTGAAAAACGATTTTCTGCAAAGGTATAGCTTATAAAAATTCCCATAAGTATAGCAATAGAATTTGTTAACAGTGCAATATGTAAAAAGGCTAAAAGACAAAGAACAAAAAGTTTTGTTTTCCCATAGTAATTTCCATATAAACTTCAAATGGCTTGTGCCAAGTCAGTTTCTTATCAAATGAGTTTAAACTTTCGGAGGCTAATCAGGACCCGACTTGAAACCGTTTGAACACTGTGGAGCGAAAATTTCAAATTTTGCATCAGTCTAGTGGGCAACACTGTAAAGGGCGTCCACGATGAAATTGCCACACTATGAAATTGCTCTAACTTTTTAACCGTTGGGTAGAATTTAATGAAAATTTGGGTGGATTTAGTTCATAGTGCATTATTTACATCCTGCAAGTTTTAAAGTCCTGTGATCAAAACTCGCGGAAATGGAGTCGAAAGAACAGCTCGTGTGTGATAAAATCTTGCGCATTCATCACGAGAACAAGGATCTCTCGCATCGTTCCATCGCTAAAACGTTGGGAATCGCGAATTCCACGGTGTCGCGAGTGATTAAGCGGTTCGAGGAACGGTTGACCACCGATCGGAAGCCCAGAAGTGAAGGAAAAAGTATTCCGTACAACACCAAAAATCACAACCGCGTAGTTGGGGCCTTCAACCGAAATCCGAACGCCTCCGTTAGGGATGTGGCTAAGAAGCTGCACCTAAGCCGAAGTTTTGTCCAGAAGGCCAAAACTAAGGCTGGGCTTCGAACGTTCAAGGTACAAAAGGCCCCTAATCGCGACGAGAAGCAGAACAAGTCCGCCAAAACCCGTGCCAGGAAGTTGTACCTCAACATGCTGACGAAAGTTGAATGCTGCATCATGGACGACGAAACATATGTGAAGGCCGACTTCAAACAGATCCCCGGCAACCTGTTTTTCACGGCCAAGGATAAGTTCAGCGTTCCGGAGCATGTACGCACTCAGAAGATGTCCAAATTTGCGAAGAAATTCCTGGTTTGGCAAGCCATCTGCACGTGCGGGAAGCGGAGTGCACCTTTCGTGACCCAGGACACGATGAACGGACAGGTGTACATAAAAGAGTGCCTCCAGAAGCGGCTGCTTCCTCTCCTGAAGGCCCACAACGTCCCAACAATCTTCTGGCCGGATTTGGCCTCATGCCACTACTCCAAGGACGTGCTGAAGTGGTATGCGGACAATAAGGTCAATTTCGTGCCGAAAATGTTCAACCCTCCCAACACTCCGGAGCTCCGCCCCATCGAGAAGTACTGGGCGATTATGAAGCAGCACCATCTTAAACGACCGAAGGTAGTGAAGACAGTCGAGGAACTGAAGAAAGTATGGGTTTACATGCAAAAAACGGTTGATTCACAGGTTGTGCAGAATCTTATGGCCGGGGTTAAGGCCAAGGTGCGGGCATTTACGTATGGACTGTAAATAAAATACGAGTAAAATGGTAAAATGAAGTTTAATAGTTATTTCTCAATCCCTGAAAATTTGATGGCAATCGGATGAAAACTCGAATTTTGCGAATCAATTTTGTGTGTGGAAATTTCATCGTGGACACCCTTTATTCTGCAGTGTGACATATTAGCCATGATTTTTGTCCTCTATTATTCGCGCCAGAAAGACAGTTTATGGAGCATAATCATAAGACATCAGTGACTTGAATCATTGATAACTTCTGTTTCTTACATTTGATCGAAAAGTGGTCTTCAATAAAGTTGTAGCTGAGTAAATTTACAACAAGCGCAGCTATATTTTTTCTAAAGCATGAGAGCATAATTATGAGATATATATTATGGTGAAACTATGGTTTCCCCATATTTATTTCCATATAAACTTCAAATGGTTTGTGCGAGAGAGTTCAAATATTGGGAGGATAATCAGGATCCAATTTGGAATCGTTTGAGCACTGTGGAGCGAAATTTTCAAATTTTGCATCAGTCTAATAACCATATAAATGATGAATCCATAATTTGTGACGAAAATCGTTAATACATAGCTAATTTTTGTACTTATTAGAAGCTAGGAGTCATCTCAGTTCCATTATGCTTAAATTAGTTCCTCAAAAGCAAACATGATTTATGAAACGTTAAACTGCATACACAAACAATACCTTAATCCTGCAACGATGACGCATTCTTGTCACATTATTTTCAAGCGTCATCACGTCGCGGCAATCAGTCAACGCACCAGTCACTCATTCTTGCATGTCAGTTGAATGCATGTGACGACGGACGGCGGTGGCAAATTTTCTCGGTCATCACCATCATCCAGCAGCGTCCGGTGAGTGTTGCTCTATGACTCAGCGAAAAGCAACTGACTGACTTTATCAGATCTGAAGCACCGACCGTAGCCGGAACGGTTTCTGATTGGCTTCCATTGTTCAAGTGGCGTACAAATTGGTTGTGCATTATGAAGTAAGGATATTCTCCAAAGGAGCTAGAAAGTGCTCTTTAAGGCATTATATCACATTCTGTCCATAATTCTCGCCCAAGTCAACGTGCCGGATTGACCTCCAGTGCCGCATATGTTGCTACTCCTATACTGCTGGCTGTCGGTGGCAGTGTTGTGCCTCGTCACGACGGCTCCACCCGGAACGAAATAAAAGTGCCAAAAGAATTCACCACATTCTCTGTGCCTTTCCCCGAACTTAAAGAGCCGCTGCTGGAACACGGAACATATTGGGCACATGTGCGCTCTCCACGTTGCTGCAGGCACTTCAACCATATGTAGTCTCCGTAGCGAGCGAATGCCATCGGGACTTTTTACATAAGTCCGTGTTCCTCAACTGACCACAACGAACGCAGAAAAATGTGTGTGTGTTTGCGCGAATCGAAAAGAAAGTAAGCTGGCTGCCGGCGGTTGTCTTCGCCGAATCGCGAAATTTAATTAAACTGGGTCAAATGCTACGGCAGCGACGACGCTTTGCCTAGCTGCTGCTGCTGCTGGTTTGTTTTGACTCTTGTGTGCATTTTGTGTCTACGTGGGCCGAACCGGGGCCTATCTGTACCGGTATTTGGTTCACGTAGGTCGAACACGCGTTTTCTCGCTGGTGCTTGCCGGATGATTAAAAGGACGCATGAACGAGCACCCTACATCTCGGAAACGACGAGTGTTTTTCGGGTGGCATGAAAATGGCCTGATGATGTGATGATGGGGAATTAAGGTACTTTCACGAGTGAGGTAATTAATGTTTTAAAATTTTTAGGCTACGAACTTTTTTTTTGTTTTATCAGTTGATATCTTAATAATTATGTTGAATAATGATATATGCTTTCCAAATGAAAGTCATGTGTAAATCTAGAGCAAAAGATAAAAATTCAAATTCAGACAATCTCGAGGACAAGTCAGATAGAATAAAATCCCAAGATTGCATCAAGGTCAACTGATAGAACATGGTTTCAATTGCAAGTGCAGAAGATAAGCCATCATATGGTTTCTGAGTAAGTCTTCACAGATTGTTACACTCACGACGTATGACTGTTCTGAAAATTATTTAAACATGCAATCGCAGATTTACGAAACTGTTCTGAAAAGTTTGACGGAACCAATTAAACAGTGGATTTTGCCCTGAAACTCAGCTAAATGTGGTTTGAAGTCTTCCGCATTGACGTCCGTAGTTTCGTGAACTCATCTTCAAAATCTCCTAAACTTAATTTATACTTGATGAGCTGTAATAGGGTTTTTGATCTAATTTCTGTCCTACTAAGCACAACCCGCGCTTTACCTCTATTTTCTGAACGAGTTTAAACAAAAAATGGAATATTTCTGTCAAAGATGACTTCTAAATTCATTCACCTTTCCATACGTACCTTTAGATTTGATAAAGAGTCACAAATTGTTGAGATATTGTTTAAAATCTAATACTGCTTCTTGATTCTAAATTCGTTCTACGAGTTTCAATTCCGTCCTAACGCATTGAAACGCCATCAGATTTTCTTCGTCCTACGGATAAACGTAGAAAAAGAGGATTCGCTAGGAGCGCTTCTTTTGTTTTGAGAACAATGAGCGTAAATATTCATATAATGCGCTCTAACTGGATTTATGTTGTAGCTAATGAACTTACGCATCAGAACAAACCTATTATTGATTTGTGCATGGTGAAATCATTGATATTATTGATCTTTTCTGATCGATAGAACGGAAATGGGCGATAACGACGAAGTAGTGCTCTACCCTATACTTGGATCTACTGGACTGGATCAATCGCCATGAGCGTTCTAATTTTTTTTTCCTTGATTTGTTTTCCGTCGATCTTGTTTTCCGTGCTGAGCACCAATGCTACCGACGTGCCAGGAAGAGAGCTCCCACACCTGGACCCTACCTATCGACCCATCAACTCATGAACCGGGGACCAACGGCTTTACTTCCCATCCGAAGGAAGGCGTGATCAGAGATGTTATGCCTCAGAACATCCCGGCGGCGCCGACTGGGATTGAACTCAGGCCTGCTGGGGTGAGAGGCAATCACGCTTACCACTAAAGCACCGGCGCCGCTAAGCGTTCTAATGTTCTTCTTTTCAACTGCATAAAACCAAAGTGTGCGTGATCTACACTAGAGTCGACGATCTCTTCCGAGTTCGTCTCGGTTTCCATCTGAGTATTTTACACAATTTTTTCTGCAAATGCAGTTTTAGGCCATATCTAGCACTGTTAGGAACTGTCCGGCTTCCTCATAACTTTCCTGTGTATTTGAAAAATACCTAACCACTTTTTCGGTCACTTCCTTTCTTTCGATGGCTGATCGAACGTTTCTTGAAGTTTTTGGTGAATGTTCAACTATCTTTCAATGGGTTCGAACTTTTGTTGTCTATCCGCTTTTTATTTTTATTACATCTACAAGTAAACGCACGAAACTTTCTGGAAATCAACAGTACGCTCTGGAATTGCCTTGAGCCAATGTTGACATTTATGAGTTACACGGTTTCAATCTGGGTGCTGCAAAGACGGACCCCTAAATCGATCCAATTAAAAGCTTAACTAAAATCATTCTATTGATAGTGGGATGTAGTGATGATTTAAGACACATTTTTTTTTCAAATATATCAACAGACTTTTTAAACTTTTTTGACCAAAAATTGGTTCTTTTTGCTTCTCTATAATCATTCACGAATTTACGAACATAAACAAACCATCGCGATTGAGCTTTACGTATAATACTGTTTGGCAGCGCCGATGGCGAAGAACAGCACTTCTAAAATTGAAAAGAAGCCACACCGCATCACGCAGGTTTCAATGTTATACTCATTTATAGGCGTGAGAGGGAAAGGCATTTTTTTTTCGCAGTCACCCTTTACATCAATTCACTTGCATTAATCCCGTCAGCCCCAAAATTCTTTCGACTGAAATCACAAAAATGTTCGCATTCAATTTCAAATCAACCAAAGAGGAAATCGAAAGCAGCCACCCCAGCCCACGGCGAACGTTATCCGCTCAATAATGGTGGATTGTCCACTTCATCAGCTTCATTTCAAATATGTATGCAGCAGCCCAGTGAAAGCGAAAGTAGATCACTCTACACCGTATGTTGTTGTTGTTGTTGTTGTTGTTGTTGTTGTTGTTGTTGTTGTTGTTGTAGTAGATATGCGTCATGGCTGAAAAATGCACACACAGCTGTTTCCTCCTCCCGTGCGGAGATATCCGGAAACCTTACATGGAAATTGGCATGCATAGACAGACATACATATGTGTGGACTTGGAATGCTTTGTTGGCCCCTGTTTGGTTTCGACCGTGAGTCTGATGAATGAAAGTGGAGGCTGGTCTAACGAAACTGGTTTACGATTGGTTCTCCCGAAAAGCGATGGCTCGAGCATTCACCATCAAATGGTGGATGTGTGTTAGACCGCGCGTGCTCAAGGTATTAAGGTCCATAATGAAAGCCTTGGAATTTCCAAGCTGCAAATAGAAATCCCCTCGCTTCAGGGCACGTTGAAATCTCAGTTACTGCAGCTTTGGGCATGAGTAGGTAGACAGCTAGCTTTCAGTGCTCTGTGTTCGATTTGCGAATTCGATGGCTGCCGTGATGAACCAAGGACAATCACCTTGTCTGATCATGGAATGTAGCTGTAAAGGTCTGTCTTGAACACATTTTTTTTTGTTCGCTGCCACATTCACTTTTCGTCTACCATCGATCTTGCTGCTGCCAGACAATTTGGGTTTCTATTCCGCCAAAGCGTGTGATTTTTTCCTCTCTTCTGCTCTTTTCATCTATCCTCCGTCGCGTCGGTTCCGGCTTTGCCGGTTGTCTGGTCTGGAAATTATAGGTTGCAATTTGGCGGTCGCCTCTCAGACAAAGTTGAGCGGCTTGAGTTTTGGGAACAAAATGTTGCTGGAGTGAACGAAGCGGTTTTGACTGCAGTGAAAGGTTCCTTTGAATGTTAGTTTGGCCGATGATTTGGAAAAAACGCCCGCACAGAAAACTGGTGGGACTCAGGCATGGCATGCAAAATCTGATTTCTCCTTTGAAAATTAGGACGTTCATGATCGAAGCATAGACTTTCCTTCCCGATGATCCAGTAGAGTACACCCAACCAGAAAATGTATGCTTTCCCTACAGTTTGGTGTACAGAGGATATTCGAAATCTGTAATAACTACTAACTAAAGATTCTGTAATGCAGTCGTCTGAAGACTTTCCAAATAATTTTATAAATTTAAATGCTACAGCCTATGTGATTGTCACTCGATTTTGCAAAAAAAAACAAACATATTTTTCTTTAAATCGTTTCTGATCTTTTGAAACCAGTTGCATTCAATTTTGGTATCATTTAATGATAGTAGGACAGAAAATACAACCGTGCTAAAAATAATCTGATGTACACTCTGAAAAATCGTCACGTCTGATTTACGTGAAAACATATGAGGTTTTCGTCCACCCTGTTTTTCACGTAACTATTACCGGAATTGCACGTAGCCGATCAAAATTAAGCTTCTATTATCTACGTAATTATTCAGGTAAATAAGATCTGATTTTCACGTACAGCTTACGTGAAATCGAGATGAAAACTACTGGAAAACTGATAACTTTTACATGATATTCCATTTTGTTTAAAATTCTTATAAACAAATACCATAAACAAACTACATCCTGGATGTGTAAAGTATTCCACAAATGGTTTGGATGATACCCAGAACACGTCGTTATGCTCTCTTTTATGGTTATTTTTATTAGCGATGTTTTTCACGTAATTTGTACGTGAATTTTGGATGAGAAAAATGGAACTTATATGTAGAAGCAGTCAATATTATGTAATTTCATCGGGCAGATAACTCATAAAATGGCGTATTATTGACTACTTAGTAGGTAGAAATGTTTATGAGATTTTATCACCCCTATTCTGTATTTCGTTTCGAACGAAATTCTCATACAAAAAATATTTTTTTGTATGAGAATTTCGTTCGAAACGATATACAGAATAGGGGTGTATATTTCTGTCAAAATATTAATAACTGTTTGCAGACTCAAAATGTTGATACCACCGTGTGAAATTATAAAACTAGAAAAAGGCTATATAATCATTATTTTTTAATTGAATAAATTAATGTAAATGAATCAAATTACCGTCCATTATTTGTAACAATCTGTTGGGAAATTTTGAATTTTTAAGGTGTTCTTCCAACACGCTTGGTGACGCCATATTGATTTTTTTGCGCACCTGAAAATCACGCAAATCTCGTTTCGCGGAAATATCGAATTCCCAAACACACAAACACAAATACACTAAATCTGTTATGGTCGATTTCACCAATATTTTTTGTGGACATGATGTGTAATGCATGTCAATGTTACTAAAGTCACATAAAATTTGAGATTATCTGAATACATATAAGTTACGTGATATTTCAAGTAAATCGGACGTGAGGATTTTTTAGAGTGTAGTAATAATTTTTGCGTTTTGAGACCATTTTCTTAAGGTCACGGTTTTAGGGTCGTTGTGGCCTTTCTAATTCTTTTAAATTTTTTATACGCTTTTTGGCTATTTTAAATCTGTTTTTGGTGTGCGTTTTGAGTTTTATTGAGTCTATTTTTGTTATGATTTCTAAAACCTTTTCAACGTTTTAAGGTTATTTTGAAGGCGTTTTTATAGTTAACGTATTTTTTCTCCATTATGTGATTTAAGAGTTATTCAAACTCGATGCAGAGAAATACCGTTGTTTGAGGGTGGAGCTTTAGGCGGTATTATATATTATATACTATTTTTAGAATCGGTCAACTGGTTCCGGAAATATGGCCGGAACATGTTCCGGTTTCAAGGGCCATGTGACTAAATCCGACCTGAAACGAATAAGACCCTTAATGTGACACTTCAAATGACATGAGAATTCAAAACCTCAGTTCAATGGTAATGATTTGAAGTGCCCAGGATCAAACTGGCTGCATTTGGTCATGTTCCGGTGGCCCCGGAGAAGTATCCAGTTTCGGACTGTGGTCAAAATCCATTATTT